TAATAACTTTTCATAAGTATAAAAAAAAAAAATAAATTAAATTGTCTAATATTTTTATAATTTCATGGATTTAGATATCAATTATCATAGAAATTCTAAAAGTTTATCTAATGTTGATAATAATAAAGAACGTTTCATATAAAATTTAAATTTTTTTTTAACCCTTTGCAACAAATCAATTTGCAAACTTTTCTTTCAATTTGTTTGATTGCATTTATATATGTTTGTTCTACATTTTTGGTAGAGAAAATCTTATTTATTATAAAGTAACATTAACGATTAAATTATATAAGAAAAGGTAGTCTCTTACATCTTTGAGTGTGTACAAACTAGTTCAGTTCTAAAGCGTTATTCGTAAGTCGAATTTATTCGTAAGTCGGGGGAATTAAAAAAATCAAAATATACTTATCTTACCACACTTTAGCATGGTTTTTACTTTTATATATGTTAAATTCCGTTATACTGACTGCATAAATTTAAAAAATATATAAAATACTTACAAATACTTTTCAATGTAGACATCACAATTATTTAATAAAAAACGACAAAAAAAACAAATGCAACAAAAAAGATAGTACATCTTCCAAAAATATTATATTTTATTAAAGAAATTATCAATTTTTGTTTGGACAGTTAATTTTTTTTATTACTATATAGGAGATATATAGTAACAAGTTAGAGTTTTTAGAATTTTGTTCGTAAGTCCGTGAGTTCGTAAGTCGGTGGATACCTGTATTTGATATGAACCTATTAATATTGTTTTTGTTGATTCACAATAGTCCGGTTTTTGAAAATCTCTTAATAAATTGGGATATTGGCGGAACAATTACCCACACTATGCGAGGTTTTGTTATTGTAATTACGTTATTTATAGATTTATGAGGACTTGCATATTTATATGACTACAACCTAATATGAAATTGAATATAGAAGATTATTTAAAACACAGATTATTTAAAACATGAGATTGCTGAATGTTGAAAATTAAAATTTCAAGATTTTTGTAAGTTTAAAATTTTAAAGTGTTAAATTTAAAATCTGGGTTAAGTGTACGTAAATTAAAGAAATATGTTCTAAAAACAAACACATATTCAGATAACAAACAATTTACAGACTGATTGTCGTTACTATTGGGAATTAGCACTAGTAGTGATATTAAACTTAAGTCGCTTCTAAATCTATTATCGATTAACGAACAATTCGGGTAACGAATTTGAACGGATTATGTTCGTTAACTGAATTTGTAATTATTATTTATAAAAAAATATTTCGATAATTTTTTAAAATCAGTCCAATTCTGTGTAATTAATATTATAAAAATGCCATGTGTCATGTGAATTATGGATTTTATTACTTAGAAATCCTTTCCATTATTTTCGGGACATTTCCCATAAAATCCTTTCCCCATGCGATTGTCTAATTATCAAACCATGGTAGGTAACTACTGTATCTCTCACACTTTTACTTTTAGTTCATTTTGTTCTCTCTCCCTCTCGCTCTTTCTATGTGATTCTACTATACACACACACGTTTTGTTTTGCTTTCCAGCGCATCGTCGTCGGTTCAGTTCGTTCCGTGGAGCCATGCGCGTTCCAACAGCGTACAACTTCCTCGAGCTCTCTTCCTGCGTGTCCCACTAGGTCCTCCAGATCCTTAACAAACTCATCACTGAACTCCGCAGAAAAAAAACCCTTCGAGACATTCGAACAGTGCGCGAATTGATTAACCCAAGGACTTCTTAACAACATCATCATGGAAAGCAATTCCGTTTCTCCGATGCCCGAATTGGCGCCAATCGCCGAATTCGACAAGACACCGCCTACGCCTCCTGAGGATACCATCCCTATGGATGATCTTCCACCGCCTCCGACTGTCGTCACCGTCGCCAACAACTCGGTAGAGCAAGAAGCCGAAACGTGAGTGTTTACAATTACTTTCATTATGCAATTATTTCCGAACACTTTCTACGCGATTTTCCTTCCGAGATGTCGCCGTAAATTATTCATTTTATTATATTGCTTCTTTTTTTTTTAAATTAGAAAATTTACAATCTACAGAAAATCCTTTCCACTTTTCCATGGGCTTTAAAAATAGATTCACATAGGAGCAGTTGAACTATGTACAAGGTTACAACGAAAACATAATTCTGAAAACAGATAACTGGAATAACGTGCATACATTATTACCTATTGTATTAAAGAATGTAGGTTATTGATAAATATTTAAAGGCCTTTTTTGCACACATATTTGTTAATGAGAACAAAAGAAAAATGTGATTTTTCTAATGAATATTACAATAACAGCTGCAATGAAAAAAAAAATAAGAAATTGCGTCTAGTAAATGCGTCTTATATAAAACATCGTTTAATTGAGTATAAGAGATTATTTAATTGAAGATGAATGAAATATTTATTACAGTAAACAATAGCTTTTCACTTGGATACATCTCAGAATAATTATTACGGAAATTCCTTTTTTTAATGATGCGTTACATACAAAAAAAATACTGTTTTCTTCTTCTAAATACCATACATTATTATTTGAGTCGACTATTCTTTATATCAGCGTTTCTCAACCTTTTTTGATTCGACAAATTTGTTTGTAGTTATACAGGGACCGAATTGCGAAGAGTATTTCACCAGTTCCTCGCAAAATGACAGCTGTCACCTTTAACACTACATGGCAGTTGTCAGGAATTTTGGATTGTGTTTAGCCCTATAATTAATATTCAGCTATATTTTGCTTAGTGTGGTCTTAATTAGTCATTAATTTAACTGTGGTCGGGTTTGAAAATATTAAAATAAACTAATTAGTTATTAATTATAAAAAAAAGTACACAAGTCGAGCCTTTTCTTTTGTGCAGTTAATATTTATATGCTTTTAAAGTCCCCGATTTGTACAGTTTTATGTACATATATTCAATTAATTTAATTGGCTTATGTGACTTTAATACTACAAATTTGAGAGCTTCATTAGCGGCATTATTAATTATCACGACATCGATATACGATAATTTTGATGGTAATTCTATATAATATGTAATTTTAATTAGTTAATTAATTTGATTCGCGCTATTAGTATATAAATATTATCATTGTATTTTTTTAAATTTTTATTCGATAAATTTTATAAAAATATTTATTATATATAATTCAAATTCTTACTGAAAATAAAATAATTAACAGACAAAATATATATAACAAATAATCAATTTATTTACTTGTATTTTTTTATCCCCGATTAGTCCGGTTTATAAAAAATTGTATGAAATGATGTTTAAATTAATCAATTTATAAGTTTCGTCGTTGCATTAGATATTTTTTTGTACATTTGATATCTTCTATGAAAATATTTTCCAATGTTGAATATTTCGATTGTATTTCTGCATATGACATTGAAATTTTATATAAATAAAAAGATTAGATACGCAGTGAAGCGCGAATGCAGATGGAATTCGACTCGACACGATACGGCAAGCATAAAACGAGAATATTTACCAAAACAATGGTGTTTTTTTTTTAAATACGTCAAAAGCAGAAAAAATGGTGATAACTAAAACAACAAAAATCGTAAAATGTTTATGATGACTTTAGAATTTCTTATTTCATTTTGATCTTAATATTAGTTTTCCGCATACTAGGACATATTTATACGTGCGTTGGTTTTAGTTTTTGAGGGATATTTCTTTTTGTCCTGCTATTTATGCAGATTTTAAGTTGAGGAATGATAGTGAAATAAGTATTATGCAAACTGTGTAAATATCTATTTATAATTATGATGACTTCAGTTTTGAATGTATATTTCTTTCCGTCCTACAATTTAGTCAGATTTTAGATAGAAAAAAATAATTAATTCAACTATTTATTTTTACCAGTTTTGCTCATTTTTTTTTTTAAATAATCAATGAAAATTATTCGATTGCAGGGTGTCCTGCAAGGCTCCCCTTTGTTCCACTTTTGTATAACCTTTAATGCTCCGACCTTTCTAATCCTGATCACAATATCTTTGATCCTAACCTTTATACCAAATCTTACTAAACCTCCTCTTCGCATATCAAGTTCAAAATAAAAACTTGATTCCGTCATTTCCGATCCTTGACCTTCCGCAGCTGCGACATATTTATCCATTCCAAAAGCTCAATATATTTTTTTCCACTATTCCACTATTTCGTTTCACTGTGAATCTGCTGCTATCCTGAACACTGTTATTGTCCATCGACTTGGCTGAAGGTCCATATGCTAAACTTTATTAATTTCACTGTCCATCTGTGATGAACGATGGCCCTATTGCTGCAAGCACTTAGAGGCCTCACAAAGAACCTGGCTTGGCCAGGATTTGAACCTGTGCCCACTAGTACGTGGGTAGGGCGACTTAATTCAGCATTAGTATCTCCAAAAGCTCAATATATAAATCCGTTCAATCATTGGCTATGGTTTCCCTTAAAATTTCAAAATCTATTCCTGAAAAATGATGATTTCCTTTATTCCAAATTTGTTAAAACCAAATTTGTTCCTTTCTTCTACATTACTTCTACTTACATTTAATTTCAAAGACACAAATATTTCCTCATAGTCCGAATTCCGTTTCCATCGAAATCCTATTCCAATTCATCTTTTTAATTGATTTAATTCCAATTTAAACACTTATTTAGTCTCTATTGCTAATGATTAAATTGATTAAGTTTTATCATGTTAAATTTTCTAAAGTTCTTACTAATATAAACTACAAATAACTTGTTTACATCATGTGATCCTTTTAAAATAAAACGTTTATAAATCAATTCAATGTCAATAAAAAAAATTGGCTGAAACGTGTTGAAATGTATTTGTTTCATAATAAAAATGTGGTGTTTACAGTAAATTGAAGCACGCACATGGCAGATTTAATTTCCGGAGCTGGAAATCTGGACCGTTTCCATAAAACACTTAGTCCCACTAATCTAGATGGACTAAATGCACATACATACTCACACATTGTACAGGTTTTAATCTGCATCGTGCAATCCTCCAACAAATTTACTTAACTTCTCCGAAAGCGCCAGCTTTAATAATACAACGATTTTTAAAAGCGAGATAAAATTAACTACATTGTAAAATGTTTTTTTAAAGCATATGTATAATATTTTTTTATTAGGCGATTTAATAATATTTTCTTTTTAGTCATTTAACTTTTTAAACAATTTCTTAACTTTATTATCAATAAAATTTGATAGTTTGCAAAATCTTTAAAATTATCATTAAACATTATTTATTGAATACTTTTATAACAAAGTGTCACTATGATTATTACGATTTATTATAAATAAAATTCACGAATTAGCAATTTCTTTCAAACTATAATATTAACATTTTTATTTTTGTTAAATTTATTCAGTATTGTCTGAAACACGTCCACTTTATATAATCAATCTGCTAACTTTATTAAAGATATAATTAACTAATTATAAAAACAATTGTTAACTTAATTAAAGAAAATTTACAAAAGAAAATTATTTTCTTGTTAGGTTTAAAAACATTTTTTTTAAATTATTGTTTGAATCTCGTCGATTTAATTTAAATAATTGTTTTAATGTTACAAACAAAATTTCTTAGTTTTAAATTACAATTATAACATATTCCAAAATTTAAGAACAACATTTCTTAATCATTATTTGAACATTGATGTTTTTCAATAAAAAAATTGCTAACTTTATAGTAGACAAAATTCACAACTTTGTAAACTTTTCAAATTATATGGATAATCTCTTTCTTGTTAATTTAATAACAGATTTTCTTAACGACTGTTTGAAGTATTTTATTAAATAAACTAGAGAATTTATTGGCGAGATAACTTAAAATATATGCAAATTGCGTGCTCTACTTTGCTGAAAGAAAGATAATGTTCTACTGCTGTTATATTAGTTTTTTTTTATGGAACAGGAATTTCATCTCGGCCTAAAAATGGTTGAAAATTGTGTAATGATACTCTCATTCGAGTGTAGCTTGATGGAATAAGGCTAAACCCTCTTTTACTAGAGGGGATGAAAAGTGTGCCAGAACGCGGTATTAATATTGGGTGGATGTTTGCAGGGCCCACACCTGTCAAACAACGTGTTGCTGCTTATTTGGGTCATCCTAATTTCAACGTTCTGTTTTTTTACCTTCATCCGAAATTATAATGAAATAAAAAAAGAGAAAGGGCACGTGAGTTGATTTATAACAGGAATTTCATCTCGGCCTAAAAATGGTTGAAACTTGTGTAATGATACTCTCATTCGAGTGTAACTTGATGGAATAAGGCTAAACCCTCTTTTACTAGAGGGGATGAAAAGTGTGCCAGAACGCGGTATTAATACTGGGTGTATGTTTGCAGGGCCCACACCTTTCGTACAACGTGTTGCTGCCTATTTGGGTCATCCTAATTTCAACGTTCTGTTTTTCCTTCATCCGAAATTATAATGAAACTAAAAAAAACGAGGGAGAGAGAAAGAAAGAGGGCGTGCGCGTTGATTTATATGAAGCCCTATAGAAGCCGGGGTTGTAATTAGTGGGGAACAGCTCGACGTTTTCCACCTACGTCGTGTTTCCATAGGAACAGAGGTATAAATGAACAGCGTATATAGATTCCGGAGTCTTTACGCTTCACACACTTGCATAATTACGAGCATTTGTTTCGACCATGTTAAAATGCAGATCGAGCGCAGGGCGTCGCGACGACCGGCGCCGCGGGTCGTCGACCGGAAATTTCGCATCCTCCGGCACGTTTCGCGGCACGGAAATATTAATTATAGCAGCAGCAGAAGCAGCCGGAATGGATATTCTGCTGAGGATGTTAGTTTTGCATTATACCAAAACTGCGATCCCGAAGCCGGTCGGTATGATGATGATCATCCACAACCGTTGCGCTTCTCAACTCCGCCAATTCGAAATCCGAACTT